CTTCAGGTGATTGGACAATGGCAAAACAATCAAAGCTGCAGGAACAGCCCTGCATAACCCCTCCTAATCCAAGCCTGTCTTAGTTTTGTAGCAAACAGTACATTAAAAAGGGTCCACGCAACCATCTCTAGCTGTAAACATGTGCGCACTGCATCCAAAAGAACCAAACAATGTCCTTCAGCCTGTGAGAAATGTCCGTATTATTATACAGGATTTATATAGCGCCAACAGTTTGCGCAGCGCTTTACAATATAAGGAAGACATTACAGTCACAATACAATTCAAGACAAGATGGTAAGGAGGGCCCTGAACCTGAGGGCTTACAATCTAAAAGGGAGGGGGAAGTGATACACGAGGAGGTGGCTGTGTGGGGATAATTTGTTTGAGAACGTGATGGTTGAGGGTTAGGTTGAGGTGGGATAGGCTTCCCTGAAGAGATGAGTCTTAAGGGAACGCCTAAAGGTAGTCAGAGTAGAAGATAGACGGACAGGTTGGGGTAAAGAGTTCCACAGAATGGGGGAGACTCTAGTGAAGTCCTGGAAGCGAGCATGGGAGGAGTTGACAAGGGAGCTAGAGAGCAAGAGGTCTTGGGAGGAGCGCAGGGGACGGTTAGGGTGATACTTAGAAACAAGGTTTGAGATATAGACGGGGGGCTGAGTTGTTAATGGCTTTGTAGGTGGTTGTTAAAGTGACATTAAAGGATAATTTTTTTTCCCTCTCCCCAATGTTAATGTCAGCACTTACCTTGAATGATGTCTCTTAATCCGATCTTCCTCTTCTTTCCTGATGTTTTCATCTGTCCCTCTCTGCTTGCAGGCACTTCCGATCCAGCGGTGTCTGCATGCGGGTGCACACGTCCATAGACTTACCTTGCGTCTCTGCTCGTCTCCTAGCCGAGAATCCGAACTGCGCATGCGCCCGCCCCAAGATGCTTTGCGGCCGCCCGAGCAGTTTCGGATTATCTGGCGGGAGCGGCGCAGCGAAAACAAGGTAAGTTTAAACCGCTGTTAAAGCATTTTTTTGTTTTTTTTAAAAACCTTTTGCCTATATCTACTGCTTGATAGCAGTAGATATAGGAAAAAAACCAGAGGGTTTAGAACCCCTTTAATATTTTTAATTTTATCCTTTGGGCGATAGAAAGCAAGCGCAGGGATTGGCAGAGGGGGGTTGCAGACAAATAATCCACTTTTTCCTGAGTGAATTCTTGAAAAGCAGACTCCTCCTTTACAGGCATAATAATGGAAAAGAGGGTGGAGTCAGAAGGTTGAAGAGGGGGTAGGAGAGGGAGCCCCCTTGCAGCCCCTTCAGACATAACAGTATTAAACTCCTCTCTAGACAGAAAGTTAAAGAAGGGGTCCTAGAGACCTTGATACAAGCAGTGAAGGGGACAGAAAACAAATGGGATTCACAGAAATGGCATCCCTGCGAAAGGTACACTCTGTTCTCCGGGAAGTAGCATAGGATGTTGCCTCAGTAGATGTTCTTAATCAATCATCTTTTAAAAATAAAAAAATACTTGTTACTGCTGCAAATTCTTGATGATTCAAAAATAATTAAAATGTCTGTAGTATCGCTCTTTGCGCCTAACACATGCTAGCTGTTGCTGCTTCAAAATACAACAATTTTGTTATCTACGTGCATGCTCAATCACCCCAGCACACCAAGAGAGGATACCAGTTGTGGCTTTTTTCGATTGTCGTGACACCATAGTCCAATAAAAAGGACTTATTCATTTTTAAACCTTTTGAGTGCTGGTGACCTATTTCTTCCATTGTTCGTTTTGCACGGTGCCATCCGTGGAGTTACTGCAAGCACCATCACTGTGTACTGGCCGGGATTGCTGAAAGGTGTGCGGAGAGCACCCCCACCCTACTGCATCTTTATAACAAAACACATTTTCCCTTACAATATATTCCATAGCAACAGCCCCTACATGCTAGTGGTCATGCAGCTATATCAGCCTCCAAAGCATTTTACGCGGGATCGCAAGGCACATTATGCCTGGGGTCCGGTGTGATCAAAATGCTGACCTCTAAACCTATGACCTGTACAGGCTTTTAAAATGTCACCTATAAACAATTTGAGATACTATAGTTTTCATATATTGTTTTTTTGTGTAACAAACACAAAAACTTAACATAAGTAACAAATAAGTGAAATTTGGATTTTAACCACTTGCTGACCAGGTGTTTACACCCCCTTCCTGGCCAGGCCATTTTTCAGTATTCAGAGCTGTGGTACTTTGACTGACATTTATTCCATCATGCAACGCTGCACAGAAATGAATTTTTATACCATTTTCTGGGTACAGTTAGAGCTTTCTTTTGGTGGTATTTAATCACCACTGGGGTTTCTTTATTTTTTACTATATTAAGGAAAATTTTGAAAAACATACGTTTTTTTAAAATATTATGTTAGGAAACAATAATTCTTACCCAATTTTTTGGTAAAATATAAAAGACGGGGTCACGTCGGGTAAATAGACACCAAACATGTCAAGCTTTAAAATTGTGCGCACCTGCGAAATCGCAAAAAACTACCATACCCAAAATTGACCATAGGCAATGCTTTAAAAGCTTTTACCACTCATCAGTTTAGTATTATCAGTAATTGATGGCCCTAGAATTATTGCTCTCAATGCGACATTCGTGGCGATATGTAATATGTGCGGCATAATCGTTGTTTTCGCATGTATGCGCACCCGACGCATGTTTGCAAGTTGTGACAGGTCCTCTTAATGGAGACATCAGGGGTCTCCAAGACCCCTGATGTCACCTAGGACCCCCCAAAGAAGCTGATGAAGCAGAGATCTGCTTCATCAGCTTCTCTCCGGCGTCTGAAGCTGGAGAGTGACACAAGAATGCGGAAGTGATGTAATGTACATCACTTCCACATTCTGACAGTTGAGAGAAGACCAGAGGGAGATTGTGTAATGATACCCCTCTGATCCCCTTTCACAGAGCCACCATGCTGGTCCG